TTTGTCAATGAAAGTCTTGTAGGAATGGGGCATGTACATTAACTTTGCCCAGAGCCTTGACTCAATCCGTTATGCAGGCCTTTACAAAATACCACCCATGAGATTTTGTAAATAAGGTCCTTAAGTTCCACACCGAGTCTCCTCGCTGAGTAAATGAAAAAGAAAGGAGGAAGTGTCCAAGATTCACCTTATTGGACACAGTCAATTAGGGAATGTTTTAGTGGATACTTCCTCAGATGCACTGTTAGGAGAAAGAGTCTGTCTATAAAAGTACAAAGGAGATCTATACAAAATGATATTATGGTACCTGTCACACTCAGTTAAGTCTTACTTGGCAAAATGCTGCTTTTTACATCACAATTATCTCAGTCACTCTAAAGAAATAGCAGGTAGGCTGAGTTTAGTGAGAAAATTGCCCTATGTTATGATGTTCCCAGGATATGTTTCTTTGGAATATGTTAGAAATACCAGCTTTTCCTTGAAGGGCCATTTTCGTTAGAGTAAAAAACTGGTCTGTTACATGACCTGAGAAATTATGGGAATTCCTATGAGTAAATGCAGGTTCCTTGACAGACCAAAAAGATTTTAAGTATTCTTAGATGACTCTTTCCAGCACAAGTTTCTGATTTAAATAATCCGGGGCCTCATGCATATAGTCTGATAAGACTTTCACTTTAAATTTGCTACAATCTTATCTCTATCTGAAATTCCAGGATCCAACTTGGCCTGTAGCAAGGGGAAATTTAAGCTGTTTGAGGAAATATACTCCGAGGTAGATGTTGTTGAAGGGTTGAAACTTTTCAGCTCAGCCTGTCTTCAAGGTTCACCTGGGAAGCAGGGGTCAGCTGACCTCCTGGCAGGAGGAACTCACATACACTAAATGCTTCTCTAAGCAAACATGCCTCCCAGGTGACCTTTCCCTTCTGTATTCTTAACACAGATTTATCACCATTGTAGCTGCTTTATGTTTTGCAAGTTGGTTTCTCATCAGCCCCTTTTCTCCATTCTTCATATTCTCCCTTTGCAAAGACCTCTGAATTTTCAGTATTTTAGATGTAACAGCAGCAAATGTTTTTAGGCTTTGATTACCACGATGACTGCAAACTTCAAGAAAAGAAAAAGAACAACAAAAAACAGCAAAACATTGTTTTCAGCATATCACTACATAGTACCACTCGGAATCATATTTCTATGTGAAAAATTCAACGGCAAGGCCTGGAAAAGAGAAACTTAGGGTGTTATAGGAGGAAAAAAAAGAAATCATTTTTTTCTCTCTAAATAATAGAAACTTTTAAATTACTCCCTATGAAGGTCTGTCTGGAAAATAAATAACTCTAAGAAGAATAGTATGTCTATTATGAGGCTATTATTAAGATTTCAGAACAGTAAAGGATACTGAGCAACCCATTTTAAACAGTCATTGTTGTCTGGTGAAGAAGCACTCTTAATCGAGGATTGTTATATTTCAAACGGAGGTGAAGGAAAAGAAAGCTCCCTTTGGCATCCATCAGATAAATCAGCCCGCCTTTTCCAAACCTCCTGCTGGATAAATACTGTGCTTTCCTGGTTCACTTCTTAAATAGTTCGTGTGAGTGGGAGATGAAGGCTGAGACAAGGTCTTCTGCTCTTGGTTGGTGTTCCCCAAATGGGCACAGCCCTCACCTTTATATTCTCAGTTCCTTGAAAACAGAAAAAGAAAAGAAGAACGTTATGATCGCCATACCTGATGGAAAATCACTGGTGTTGAACTTGTCACCTTCTTAATCCATTTACGATGATAGAGTGCTGATTTGTGCATCTAATTACTGAAGCCTAATTATTGCTGCACTGAAATCAATGTGGCATAATAAATATGTGCCACATTCCCAGGAATGAGCCCCACAGTTGCCCTCCTCCTCCTCATGTAAGTGGTGACCTTATTTACACTCTTATTCAAAAGCAAGCTTTGTCAAAGATTCAAAGTCATCCCCTACATGCACTAGGAGCCGTGCAGCACATATCTGAAACTAGCATTATGAGGTTGTAGGTAATGAAGTTTGCCTTCGTAAGTGGAAATTACTAATTTATTAGAGTGCTTTGAGGTGGAAAATAAAAATGTAGATAAAGAAAAAAATAGATACATTTTACAAAGTCTTTCAAGAGCACTTTTGAAAATGTTCCACACCAACAGTTACTAATACATGCAAATGCTATATTCTTGGGAAGGGCAGTCCTCTTTTATCTTGGGAAGTAAACTGGCTTAATAGGTGAAAATAAAAAGCCCAGAATACACGTGATCATTTCTTGTATAGAAGGAGAAGCTAGATGGGGAAAAGGAGGTAATCAAAGTTAGGATGGATTCTATTTAACATGCTAAGTGCATGATGGGGATGAGCATGAAGTTTGCCCCTGGAAAGACTCACTTCTAAAAGCCTTCTCTCCATGAGTCACAAGGGGGACAAACTTGACTGACAGTCATATCTGTCATATAGCTTGATCTATATCGGATCTTGACTAACAGTCATATCTGTAGCTGATTTGCTAGATGACAGGCACTCTTCCATGAATTTTATAGGAAATAACTCTATTGTTCCTTATAACAACCCAAGCGGATATTACTATTCCTATACCCATTTTACAGATAAAGAAACTGAGGTAACAGAGCAGTCAAATACTTTCTCCATGGTCAAAGTGAGTGAAAAAGCTACAGGTACATATTTAAACATATTTTCAGTGATGGCCTAGAAGAAGAAAATGAACATCATTGATGATTGGTTTCTAGAAATCCTACTTTGGTTCATAGCTTCTCTCTAAAAGTCTTTAAGTATCGTGATTTATACTGAACATGGTACTTCAGGACACATAGACTCTGTTTTATTGATGTTTAAGAAAGTATTTGTTAGCCCTCATTCATTGGCTATTTACTTTATTACTTTTTTTAATGTGTAGCCCTGTTGGTAAAAGGGGGCTTAATATTCCTAATGATATGAATGAAAAAAATAGAAGAAATCACTGGGTTTTCGTTTCTGTTTCTGGTCAGGGAGTTATTCCCCTTCACTTATTTGCTTGTGTGTGTGTGTGTGTGTGTGTGTGTTTGTGTGTCTGTGTTCACAAATACTTAAGAAACTGCAAGGGCTTATGGAAAGAATGGAGTAAGGAAGGAAAGTGTGAGTTCATTTCCAAAAGAGCAACTAAGGGAAAAGAAATGACAAAATCGGATATTTAATAAAATGTAATAAATGCTGGCAGAGACCTAGAACAAGGCTGGACAGGCTGTTTTGATTTTCTAAGAGGGATCTTATAATCTCCCAGTGACGGTGCAATGTGAGTGCAGAGGCTGGAGACAGAGACACAGTCTTATAAATGCTTGATTTCAGGATGACTTCAATCAAGCAAAATCAAATTTGTGTCAGGTCCTCCTTGGTGATAGCTCTGAATTAACAGAAAGAGCAGAAACTTACAGCTCCCTGATTTCCATTGATCAATAGATTTATGTCACTATATTATTAAACATCTTGATTGTCAACTGCTATCCAGGTTGCTCCACCTGGATGTCTTTGTTCCCAACAGGAATGGAAACTCATAAAGAACAGGAACAGTGGCTTTTGCTGTTCTGAATGTCCTTTAACACCTAGCAAATGCCTGGGCATAAAGATGTGAACTGGATTTAATTGGCCATATCAAAACAATGCATCTTTACCTTGCTCTTTCTCTCTGGGACCCAAAAAGTGGTGAAGGGTTATTCAATTTAAGGTTTCAACTTCCTAGTTTTTTCATTTGATTGAAGTTGTAGAAGAAAAAAAAAACGCAGCCCATATATCATTTATTTATGCTACTGTCATATAAACAAATGCTTTTACTAAAGTAATCTTGTCCCCAGCCATATTTTAGAATTATATCATTGTATCTACCTTGAAAGGGGTTAGTACCTGAAAATAAGAAGCACATTCTTGGAAGGGATTTCTCATTAAAATAAAGAAATAAAAATTGAAGTCTAATCCAAACACAAAAGTTTGCATTTTACATTTTTTATGGAGATCACAAATTCCCTGGAGCAACAAATAAATTTTGTCTTCTGCCCATTAGTTGAAGAAAATATGGTCATTGCCCCGTGTTTGAAACAAGAAAAAAAAATTTACCTGTTCTTCCAAAGCATGTGTCAACCTCCCAGAGAAATAAACAATCTGGGGCTAGTTCAGCACGATTATATATTTATAAGCATCGTGGATTTAGTCCAACATTTTCCCACCTGGAAAAACTGGGCTTAAGAATCCTCAGCAACCAAAAAGCAACACTGAGTTCCTCCCAATGTGCCATGTCACCTCTGTAGCAATCACACACTTGCGGGGATGGGACCCGGGGTGTGGGGGGGAGGGGGAGTTCTGATGTAGAAATTGCAGATGGAGAGCTAGGTTCAGGGGATGGAAATGGAGAGGAGCAGGAAAGAGCCTGGAGAAAAGACTGTCATATTTGCTTGGAAGAACCGCCAAATCAGAGAGCAGGAAAGATTTCATTGGAGGAGAGCCTCCAACGGCAACTGAACCTGTCATGTTGAAAGAAAATTGTAAATGTTCTCCCCAGAAATTGTCCGCCCATTGCAGCTAATCGAACACACAAGCACCAATACAGACACGCTCTTTTGCTATACCAAGGCGCCCAGAAGAGCCACTCGAGTGAGCGTTCGCGGACACACACACACACACACACACAGAGACACTCGCACGCCCGCGCGCCAAGCTGCGGATTGTCCAGAGCCTGGAAATCGCAGATTCCACTAGGAAAGCTCCGGAGGCACTGGGATAGGTGTTGCCCCCCGAACTCAATCCTACTTCCGCAAACACTTTGGTGAAGAAATGAATCCATTCCTGCTCGCCAGTGCCTCGAGGTCTGGGTTCTATGTTGGTCTCCAGACTCTTCGTGAAAGCCAGGTTTGAAAGTCTTGTTTGCTTTTCCTTGGATGGTTTGGGGTGGAGGGCGGGGGCAGTGTCAGTTTAACTCCAGTCTAAACCACTAACAGGTCTCAGACGGGCCAAGTGGCTGGGACCCGTGTGGGGCCAGGGACTCTGCCTGCGCGCCAGCGAGCCCCGCAGCTCTCGCCCAAAGCCTTTGGGTGCGCTCTCCCCGCCTCCCCCGCCCCACCCCTCCAGTGTCGCGGCACCAACTAATCTTTCCTTTTCTCTTGTAAGATCAAGGGAGAAAGCGAGCCGGCTGCTGGCTTCGGACTCTAAGCGGTGCGCAGCTCGCGCCCGGGGGCCTCGGCCCTGAACCCGGGAAGGGCTCCTCGCGTCTGCCAGCTCACCAAAGCGCAGCCAGGGGAGGCAACCGGAGCTGAACCGGCCGCAGGTAAGAGCACCTCGCTGCTCAGCCCGCAGCTCTCCACGCCAGGAGCTCCGGAGCGGAGGGGTCTCTCCCAGTCCCCCAATCCAGGGTCGGAACTGGGGCAAATCGGAGAGCGGTCCTCCACCTGAGCCCGTTCTCCAATGGAAACTTTGCATCCTCGGGCTTGAAGGGCTGAGGGCAGGCGATGGCGGTCTGGAAGGAAGGGTCAAATTAACCACACAGCAGGGCGGGAGTGCGGTTTCCGCAGGTCACCGAGTCCCGAGGAGTATCAAGCAGGCAACCTGGGCACCGCGCTTGTGGGGCGTCGCTCTCATCCAGTCCTTCCTGACCACTGTCACCGACCTCCCTGTTGCCCCCCACTCCAGAGGCCCTCACCGAAAACTGGGGCGCTTCGCCTCTCGGTCCCCTCGGACTTCCTCCCTGGTGTCTGACCGTGTCTTCTGTGAGCCTGGGGTGGAGGCCCGACTCGCCCGGCTCCCCACGGTCCCCAGGCTCCGCCATCTGAACAGACCCCTCAGGCGCCAAAGCGAGGTTTGTCACTGCGGTCCCTGAGGAGACCGGGTAAAGAAGCTGAGGGGAAATGGGTCTCAGGACAAAGGAGAGGGCAGCTTTCTGCAACCCCATCCTGTTTCACCCCCGCACAAGAGGTCTGCTGCCCTCCATGGCAGGGTCCCAGCACAGAGCATGTGAGGTCCCGGAGTGTGCCTGGGCTTTGTCGCCCAACTCACAATGGGTTTTGAGCCACTCCGCCGGACCTCGGGGTCATAAATAGGGGACTACTGCACCCAACGCCTCTCTCTCCCCGCCCGCGTCTGTGGACCTGGGCAAAGCCACTAACTTGTAGCTTTCGGAGCCCGCCAGGTGCAGTCCAAGCCCGGGGCGGGTAGAACGTGCAGAAATTCCACCGGTGCGCTCTGCCAGGCGCCGCTGGGGTGGTCCCCGCGGGATAAGTGCAGCTTAGCCTAGGAGAAGAGATAATTCCCCAGAATTACTGACAAAACTAGGCACACCCTCTGCTTCCGTCCCCTCGGCGCCCGCATCTCTTTATCCTCCTGCCCATCGCTGTCCTGGAGGCTGCTCTGAGCCACAGAATCCTGCAAGGGAGGGTCCACCACCCCGCCAGTCCCTGGCCATGAGACCAAGGCTCTTGGATGTATGGAAACCGCCGGGGGAAGAGTTACCCGGTGCGGAGAGGTGGGAGGAAAGCAGAAAAATAGAGGTAAACTCGTTAGGGAAGCAAAGCTGTCGGCTGCTGACTTGTCGCCCTAGCTGCCCTCCAGCGTCCTTATGGCAGTTCACAGGCACCGCACGTCTGTGTGTGGCCACCCAGGACTCCAGGTCTGTCTAGCCAGACGCCGGGAACCCAGCACAGGCGCCGCTCCACCCAGTCCTCACGCTCTGGGTCTCCGACTTTGACTTCCTAGTTCTTTTTTCTATTCCTTTCTGTTTGTTTTGCTTTTCCTGCTCTTTTCTTAGAGCTGGGGCTGGGTGGCACTGGGTGTGTTGCTGCCATGTGATTTGTCCGTCCCTAGTACACGCAGCCAGACTCACACGCGCGTCCCCACGCTCCGCCACACACCCGCCGGCGCTCCAGCACGAAGCTCGCGCTCGACAGTCCCGGGTGCCTTTGGCCCCCGCCACGGCCTAGGCCGCGCAGAGGGCTTCGCTGGCGACAGGAGAGCCAGTCAGGACTTGAGAGAAACCCTGGGGCGACCTAAAGGGCCTCTGCAAAACTGGAATTTGGATTGGGAACGAGGTGGTGGTGGTGGGGAACTCTGGGAAGAATCCCCCAACCCTGCTTCCTCGCCCTCTGTCGGGGCTGTGGGGAGCTTTGAGAGCGCCTGGGATTGCCACGCTGCAGGCCCCTGCCCTCGCTCCACTCAGGTGTCCCCCACTGGAGCTGACCTGCCCAGGGAAGCCCGGGTCCCATGGCTGGTGCTGGTGCTGGGGTGGGCCAGCACCTCCCTCCAGTCCAGCCAATTCTGGCGTCTCTGGATGGGGGCAGGGCGACTCTCTGAGAGACTCCTCAAGTCTAAAGTAAGGAACCCCGGATTGTGCAGCAAGGGGCGTGCATTGTGTTTTGCTGGCAACGGATACACATGTATAAATGTATAATAGGAAATGTATATTTTATATGTATGCATTTTTACTGATAAACAAATAATAGGGGTGGTGATGAAGATACTCTTTAGTGGAACCGGCAATTAGACATACTTGTGTCATGTCTGGGCAGTAACAACAAAGGCACTGATGATCACAGAGGCAAAACCAGTAGTCTTGGAAAAGGGACAGTTTCATGCTGGGAACTATATTAGGCGGTAATTCAGATAATGGACTTTTGAGACTCCTTGTCAAATGGATGGGAGAACTGTGTGCCAACAATGTCACAGCTTTGCAGGCTTGGCAGCTGAGGACTCGGAGAAGTTACAAGTTAATGTTAATGCCAGACGAACTCTCATTGTTATTAATGCGCCCCAGTTGTGGCAGTACAATAGATAAGCGACTCCCTATAAACCCTCTTTGCTTTTCTTGGCTAAACAATAATACAATTAAAACTTGAAAATGTGACCTGCTCCTAAAACGTGTAGAAACTCTAGCCAAGTGAGTTTACTATTTAAAAGCTACGTGAAGAGGCCTGGGTGGGAGTATGGAAAAGTCCTGGGATCCAAAATTCAGGGTAGGCTACCTGACAGCTGCTTTATCTCCTATGAAACAAGAGGTGTGTTTGTTTTTGTAAGTATGCCTCAGGCTACCTGGAGGGAAATTGGACTGAGAAAACAGGTGCATTTGAATATTGCTTTCAAGTTCAAGTTCAAGTATAAGAGAAACTGGGAATGTGTGTTTTCAGTTCTCAATTGACTTCAGAGACAGATGGGAAAGAGACTAGCAGTTCAAACACAGGTAAAATGTCTTTGCAGCGACTTCCTGCAGTGTCTCAATTTGGGGGAGGGACTAGGACTGGTGTCTTCACATTAAAACATACACCGCTGTAAATGTAACCCTTCATTGCCCACGCAGTCTTCAAAGCCAGGTGAACTCATATTTATTAGACAATTTTCCAATTTCAATTCCAGAGCAGCTGAACCACAGGTCCAAGGGCAAAAGAGGGGTGTGTAGATTTAGAGCAGCAGTTCTCAACCTGTGGGTTGCGACCCACAGGAACTAAATTAAAGGGCCATGGCATTAGGAAGGTTGAGAACCACTGCTTTAGAGATCTAAAGAAAACAACAGTAGTCCTGACCCCAGGGATGGTAGCGAAGGCCCAGGAAACATGAAGGATGCTGTCTTCAATGGCGATTATGCTGCTAATTAGAGGTCAGATGTCTCTGACTCACAGCAATGAATAAAGTCAAAGTAAATGCAAAAGAGGAAGAAGAGGAGAAATTAGAATAAAAGAGAAATGAAGAGGAAATGGGAGAGAGACAGAAGGAAAAGGGGCACGAATCTGTGGGTATGCCAATACTTGGTTCAACTCCGTCACTGGTGCCAGCCTGTTTAGGCTATGCAGGTGGCAGTGCCTGTCAGGAACTGTCTTCACATGACCACTCAAACCTTCTTAATCCTGTCTTAAACTTTCCTTAAAAAGGATAGAGACAGACAAGGGTTTTGACACAGACTTCCCTTGGAGAACTAGTTTTCTTCACTTAAACTTGTATTTGATGTGGCTTGACATTTTATGATGTGGGTTCTCTGAGGTATATTCCTCAGCAGATTCCCATGGATCAAATGTGCTGAATTTCCTCCTTTCATTTCTGAAATGAAGAAATTGGCTGGCTTTCATTTCTTATCACCTACACCCACTATGTCCACTGAGCAGGTGCTCTGAGACGTCTTTCATTAAGGGTTATCATTGCTAACGTACTGATTGTGTCTCCCAAACTGGCTGAGGACAGGGTGGAGGTTGTGGTGTGTGTTTTGCACAGGGAAACAGAAACAGGGCATCTTTCCTTGGACAGATATTTTCACCAAGTGTGTTCTAAGTCCTTCACTGTTCTAAGTACTTACTTACGTGTGTTATATTATCTGATTTGTCAGTGCTTTATCTTCACTCTTTGAGCCAGTGATAAGCACGTCCAGGAACTTACTAAATATTTGTGGAATTAGTTAACAGGTTCATCAGTTTTCTCATCTTACAGTTCCAATGATCCTATGAAGTAGATGTTATTTTCCTGATTTGACAGAGGATGAAACCAGCATTCAGATGGGTCTGGTCATGATCCACGATCACACAGCTGCTAAGTTGTGAACCTGGACTTCAAACACAAACCTGCTGCACCCCACAGCTCTTGCCTTATTCTATGCTGGTTGACTCCCTATAAATAGTTGTGGCACTTGTTTTCCCTGTGTTTGGGAAATACAAAGCTGTGATTCTCAGAGTCAACTTTGTATGTTCTCTCTGGATCTCCTACACCCTAAGCAAAGAAGATTAGGGTTGACTAGGTGTTTAGTTGGCACAGGGTACTTAATTGGCAAGTATGGCAGAGGAATCAAGGCCATCAAAATCACCTGACATTTCGGCAGATGCCATTTCCACCTATCAACTCCGCTGAGGTATTGCTAAATACATTTTGTTGTTGTTGGCCCATGCACAAGAGTAAAAGATGATTTTGACATCACCCAGTTTAATTCATGATAGGCAGTAGATGAAGAGACTTCTCCAAGGTGACACAGCTCAATAAGCACTGCATAAAAACACACACATCCCAACTGCAAGTTTAGCTGGCTCTTCATTTTGCTATGCTAGATGAGTTCCTCTGTCTTTATAAGATTGTTGGCACTTAGGATTCTGAATTGCAATGGCTCCATTTAATTTTAATTAGAATTTAAGATCTGCATTTGCTTTGAAATATGTAATGTTATTTTGTGAACTGCTATTAGCAAAGAATGAGGTAAGTTCTGGTTGGTTAGCCTCCTTCTACTCTTTCTATATTCTTATCTTACTTTATTTCCTTTCCCCCCCACATGTTCAAGTTCCTTCTTTTATACTATGACCTAAATATACA